ACCTAATACTTTCAATTGTTTTGGGCATATACCTAGGCATTGAATTGCTGGGCCCTGTGGTAACTATGTTTAACTCCTTGAGGAACTGCCAAACTTTTTTAAAAAGTTGATTAGAGAGAAACATCGATGTGAGAGAGAAACATCAATCACCCCAGCAGGGGATCAAGCCTGAAACCTGGGTATGTGCCATGACTGGGAATGGAACTAGTGACCCTTTGGTGCACAGAAGGACACAACCAACTGAGCCACACCTGCCAGGGCTGCCAAACTTGTTTTCACTACAGCTGCACCATTTTATTGCACTTTGCTTTCTAATATAACCATCTTTCTTTCTTTAAATATGTTTTTATTGATTTCAGAGAGAGCAAGGGAGAGGGAGAGAGAGAGAAACATCAATGATGAGAGAGTCATTGATCAGCTGCCTCCTGCATGCCCCCGACTGGAGATCCAGCGTGCAACCCGGGCATGTGCCCTGACCGGGAATAGAACCTTGATCTCCTGGATCCTAGGTTGATGTTCAACCCCTGAGCCATGCCAGCCACGCTCTTTCTTTTTTAAAAAGTTCTCCATCCTCCTCTCAGTGCCCTCATCTAACCTACCATGGGGACTGCATTACTAATTATACTGTTGCAAAGCTGATCCTTGAGCACACATCTTGGCAACTCCAGCCAGGATTTTTTTTTGGCTCTGCTTGTCCTCCCCTAAGTACATGACCACATGCTCTTGTTCCAAATCCCAACCCCTCCCATGTGTGACCTGGGACAAGTGGCTTAACTGCTCTGGGCCTGTTTTCTCACTTGCAAGATGGTGTAAGAATAGTCCCTTCCTCCAAAGGTTTTGGGAGATTTAAAAAGAGAACCCCAGTTACACGCTTGAAGATGATCCGTGGGTGGTTCAGGTACCAGTGAACCTGAGCTTTTTACCCACTCACTCTTGGCAGCAGCCTGGGACTCAGTTTCTCCCCCTCAGGGCTGACTCTGGGTGTTATCAGTTTCCTCCCTTTTTTCTGGTGTGATGTGGGAAAATGAAATCCATTGTGACTTCCCTCTCTTCACACCCCAGGCTTCTAGCAATATGTGCATTTTGGACCGATGCTTACTATATGTTTGAGCTATAAAACCTGATTTTGGGTGAGATTTTCATTCTGTTTTCTTCTCCCACTTGGTTTGGGTCTCGCTCCCATGGACAGACCAGGCCTGCTCTGAATTTTCTGAATTCTACCTGAAGCTGCCAGAGACCCAAATAGTCACTGAGAGTATGACGACCTCCAGTCTGAGCTTGCAAACAGGGCTCTGGGTAGTCCAAAGACCTCTGCCCTGGGTATTCTGAGGCCTGGGCCAGAGGCAGCTAGTACTTCAACAGCATCCTGGCTAATCGGGGCCAAGGCTGCTTGGAATGAGACATCAGTGACCCAAGTCTAAGGTCCAGCCCTGTTTTGGAGGATGTGGCCAGGAACACAGCTTTATTTTTCTGGCTGTTTTTGGAGAAATTCTGACCTCTGATGAACGTTGGTGGGAGACCAACTGTGTGCCAGGCTCGTACTGGATGCAGGGACACGGATATAATAGAGACACACCCTTGGCATGGAAGTCTTAACCCTTATGTCAGAGAAAATGGGAAATAAGCCAGAAAAGCAATACCTATAAAGGAATGATTTTTGAATGTGAAGAGGAGGAAATAAGGAAATGACATGGGCCTCTGGGGTGGTGGTGATTTCAGCCAGGGAGGGTAAGAAGGGCCATTAGGAGGAAGTGACAGCCAGGGCGGGCTCCTAGGAAGAGGTGACATTCCAGCTGAGCCCTGAAGGAGAGGGAGCAGCTAGGTTTTTGGCAACTGCAGGGCACGTTCCAGGCAGAGGGAACAGCAAGCGCAGAAGCCCTGGGGTGGAACTGTGTTAGGCCCTTGGAGGACTGCTGGGGCTAGACTGGGGTGAGTGTGGGGAGATGAAGGGTCTCTGGGCCACATCAGCCTCCTTAGCAACACAGAAGCCTGCAGAGAACCTTCTGACACCACCCAAGCTGTTCCCCAGCTCAGCCTCCTGGACTGCATGTTACTTCCATGATTCCAGGAGGCTCTAGCCCAGTAGCCTTCCGAACTATGCCTCAGGTTCCTCATCTGTAAAACGGGATGAACAAGGGAGTCTTGCTCACAGGGAAGTGGGGGGAACCCCCGATAATTCACGTCAGGCATTCAATGAACACTTTCAGAATAAGTGACCAGCTTGTCCCCAGCACCAGATTCAGTAAGTTCAAGCGGCCACACCCTACGGGACAAACTGTCCCCATGTTACAAGTGGGAAAACTGAGGCTGGGGACGGAGGAGAGGCGGGCGCGCCTCGGCTGAACGCGGGTCTTCGGGTGCGAGAGTCTCTGGCCCCGGGGGCGCGCACGCCGAGCGGC